CCAAAGCTTATAGACAAAAGCACGCACTGTTTTAAAAGATGTATGACTATATAATTAAGCTTTAATTGTTTGTCTTTTCAGTGGTGGTGTCTTCATTACAAAACTTTACAAGGAAAACTCAGCTGGACTCCCCTGTGGACATTGAATCAGAAAGGTTCACAACATTGTCCAGTGTAGCTCATGTTCCAATGCAGTTCAGCGAGGGTGCGACTCAGAACTTGACATTTTCCAACAGTGTGTCTCATTCATCAGCCTCTCCCCACACCAGGAGTCCTCACACTTTGCCATCTTTCAGCCCACAACCCCCTTGCGCGCAATCGTACAGCCCGCACAATCCGTCGACCCACTCATTCAGCCCACATTCACCCAGCGCAAATGGCTATAGTCCTTATGCTCACACTTACAGTCCCGAAAATTCTTCCATTCAAGTCTGCGACTCTGGTCTATCATCAAGTGCTGGAATTATTGATGCGTCCAGCGAGATCACGTGTTTTGATGGCGATCACCGCGATTTGGCTAGCCTCAGTCCTCGGATAGGGCTTCAACACAGTGGCGAACTGATGCCTTTTCCAGAGAGCGAGACGCAGAGCCACCTGTGCCATAACATCAATAACAACAGCATCTTCGCTGATTTGAACCTCAGCAACGAACAGATGAGTGGTTCGAGCGTCAACTATATCAGGTCAAACGACAACTTTGACGTTTGGCAACAGCAAGAGCAGCAACAATATCAGAACTACTCTACCTACCTAGAAGGCGACCAACATCCACACCAATTTGAAAACGACGAAAACGACCCAACGTTTTATGAGATGAACAAAATGCAAATTCCGTGGAGCTCTTCCCACTTCCTAACTAGCGATCTGGAGCAAGCCCAGTCTCTTCAGACGACAGAGTATAATATGTTCGAGCGCGACAACAAGTATGATTCTCCTGTCTCTCAGGAGGCTTCCCCTTCAGTAGCTCAGCTCGATTCAGCTCAGATGTTCTCTCAAAGAGTTCGACACATCGCTGAGAGCCAAAGGCACAAGAGTGCATCGCTGTCTTCGACAGAGAGTGATGTTGGGGTCCTTGGTATGACTTCTTTTTCGAGACAAGCCGCTGAAGTCTTGCAAGACCAAGAACGATATTGCCCATTGACCCCTTCTACTGATGGATGTAGCTCGCCAGTTGAACCGTCACATCTTGATAGCCCTTTCGTCAAGTTCGACAGATTTTCGCACGAACTGCCTCTACAAGATGTCTCACGAGAAATCCGTCCCCATGGCAAATTTTCGTTTAGTGATCACATTTTCAGAACTGGCTTGAGTAACGATCACTTGCCTGCACCATTACCAAGCTACAATGGCACGTTTGGTCCGAGAGAAAACGAGTATTGCAAACAAAAAGGCTCCTCGGTAGATGTTCCTTGCGTAAAGGCGGACACTGCTCCAATCAAAAAAAAAAAAAATTTAGAGACATCGTCTTTATTAGCCGAGCTTCTGGGACCACCTAAATTCTTTAAATCAAACACTGCCAGGGATGAACAAAAAGAAATCAGAAGCGGTTTTCATAGTACCGGTTCTTCGCCTACTCAGCAATGGCCGGCAACAGATTGTTTGAGTGAGGTTAACGGTAGGACTTTACTTAGACTACCTCCAAATGACAATGAAATGAAGCGAAGACCACATCTCGTCATCAACAGAAACACCCAGTCAAACAATGCTGTGCATTTCACAAATTCTACACCAGACGTGTCGGACAGGTTAGGCAACGTCAGATCTGTAACAAATCGAAACAGTATAAATATTCTAGACAGCCTCAGCAAGCTAAGAGGGACACCAGAAGAACTCAGCTTCGAGGTGGCTCATCAAATACTGCTACAAAGTTACGGCATGACCTCCGATTCCTGCGGCAAGTCCCACGAAGGACATAAATCCTGCGAGACTTTCTCAAGGCAAAGATCATCTTTTTTCGATCCTTGTTCACTAGCCCCAGAAGCTGTCCCTGTGAGCCATAGCTCTCACCCCTCAGACTTTGCGTGTCCTATCAGCACGACAAATACAATTACCAGCAGCCGTGCCAACTCAGAGAAGAGAACTGTCAGCAGAAAAATCTCTTTCGAAGACAGCTGCGCTTACGACAATCACCTGGACAGGCTGGAGGACAATAAAAAATACTGCCAGTGGTCGTGCTTGGACACGCCCTTTGAGAACACAAAAGTGGACGGCTTTCAGGCTCTCTATTGCTCACCAGAGAGCGCGAGTATGAGGAATGAAGGACATGAGTTAAAACCCGTCGTCAACCTTGTTTAGCTTAATTTTCCTAGTTACCGTACATGCTTTGAGCTCTAATGTTTCATCTTCTGTATCTGAATTTCTATTGTCTTTAGCTTTTGACATTTTGTGTTGTTGGAAATTAATAAATGATGTATTAAATTATTAGTAGATGTTTTTTACAGTCTTATTGATGTAGCTTGGGTGGAAGTAGGAATATATTAATTCTTGTTCTGATTCCAATGTTCCTGCTTTAATCGTCAACTACAAAGCAAAGTGACCCAGCATAAAAACGTTTGCCATGCTTCTTTTTAACAATGTTAAACGTTTTCGATAGATCGACTAATTTGGCTACTACTAGATCTTGTTTCTAAACGTAACATTGTTTTCATCCAAATTAAAGTTGACATATTTTTGGAGTCTCACTTCTAAGCATGCGCTATAGGCCGGGTCATTTTATAGCACTCACAAAATGACTGTCATTGTAAAAATGTTTTCATTCAGATCAGATGCTAACATGTGTTCTCCTTGATCTAAACCATGACAAAATGTGACCGCATACATTCAGATGTTCCTAATGTGATATAGATATTAATATTGTCTTCCATGTATGTGCGTTCATGGCATTTGCGTTGGCTTTGTGCTGAAAACGAGCTACACACAATTTTAAAAAAATGATTTATATCCTGATAAAAAATGGCTTTGATTGTTGTTTTAAGTCAATCTTTTGTAGCTGTGTATAGAACGTGTTGCCTTTGTCATTTAGACATGTATGTAGGTGTATATGTGTGTCAGTGTAGGAATGTATGTGTCTGTACGAGTATATTTGATTCGTTTGTCAGTGTGTATAAAATGTATAAGGCCTACTATCAGAAGACCAAAAAAGTATCATTTTTGTTTTTCTGGTATACAGATCTACATATATGAGAGACCATGTTTTTTTATCGTCAAATATTAAAATGGCTGAAGGAAATGGTTACGTCTCTGAACCAGTCCAATGGCACAGTTTAAAGCTATATCCCACTTTTTGATACGAAAGACTTTTTTTTAACCAAATAGTTTTTCTACCTCTTCTTTTCCTCGCTTGCTTTATGCCACTAATATATAAAATATAAACTGTTCCCATTAGAGCAACACACTTATGTGCACATCACACAAGACGTCATCAAACTAGCTGGTGATCTTCACACAAAAAGTCTCTAGTTTTTATCCTTGTAAATCTGTTGCTGTGCAATGATCCCAAATTTATTAGCAAACGTCATTGTAATCTGTTAAGGCTTCAAATGAATCATATGAACATACCTTCAATTGGAATTATATTTAGGTATTAGGCCTACTCCAAGTCTTAAAGTTTGAAGCATAACGACTATTTTTTTTTATGTATGTATATAAAAATGTAAACGTTATTGGCATGTTAATCTGTGTTATTTATTTATATGTTTTAAAAGAGTTTGTCTTTTGTGTGTAAATAATGACTTGCTTGTTCTGGAAACATTTTTTTATGTGTTTATTCCTGATATAGTTCACTAAATGTTCATATTCTATTTCATCAAATGTGCAATGTGTCCTCATGATGTCAGGCTCTTACAGTATTTATCATGTTCCGGTCATGTGTCATATTTTTTTTTTTAAATGTCATCTAATAAAAACTGAAGTATTACAATTTGTCAAACTCTATTTTGACTCTTTCCACGTTACGTTTTGTACATCGGTGTGGGCCAGTGGTGGGCATAAATATGGATCAGGAGGTTGCTTTCAATTGTTAAACACCGCTGGCGCTGTCTGGCTTTAAACGGTCTTGGCATTTGGTAAAAAATGTTTGTTTGTCAAAAAGTAAAAAGTTTTACAATTTTCGGATGTTCTTTTAGAGTTGAAGATAACCTACTTCTTAGTCCAAACCTCTGGCAGGACGACGGAATATGGTACGACCAGACTTGTTTGGTAAAGTATATACGAATGCCTGCTTTTGTTTTTAAAAAAATTGTTATAGTCATGCCACGTTTTCAATTGAGGTAAATTATTGGATTGATTTATATATATATATATTCTGCGGCATTTTACGTCTCGAGAGACGATCTTTTCCCTTTGCAACTCTTGTGTGCTGCGATCGCAGGTTGGGCATATATAATCACCATTTTCATTTTTGCATTTTCACCCTTCTTTCAGCTTCTGTTGTGTATGGCATCTGCAATCCGTGACCCTTCCTTTATGCTCTCTCTCCATGTGGATCTATCCAGTGCCACATCTTCCCAGCTGCTAGTGTCGATTTTGAAGAGCTTCGTGTCGCGTTTGCATACATCCGTATAACGTACACAATAATATTTCTTCAAATTACTTTTTTTTTTTTTTTTTTAAGTGAAAACAAATGGAAGACTTTGAACAATTCTTTAGTGCTTCCTTCACTTGTACAAAAGTTCTCATCCTGAGACCTAAGAGACTTGACTAGTTGGTTTCAAGTACTATAACCTCTTATTGCCGGAAACAACAAACTAGTTAGCCAATGGCTTCAACGGCTTTAAGAAACATTCTTAGTGTAGTTAGAGGCAAATGCATTCAATACAAATGTCAAGGATTTCTTATAACCTTGGACAAATAATAATTCTATATATATAAAGAAAGAGAGGGGAGGAGGGAGATACAAAAATAGAGAGATAGATTAGAGAGATAGAGAGATCTATAGAATTATGCTCACGTGGTGTACTTTAAAAAGACAACGATTCAATAACAACAATCTAAGTTCAGTCAAAGTTTTAGCATTCTTTAATGTTTTTGATGTCATTATAATCATCGCAGTTGCCAAGGGAAAAAAATAACACGACATGGTAAATAAAGCCACCTATCACACACACGCATATATAAAGCTCATGTGAACAGCTCCAAGAACTCACAGCAGCTCAAACACAAACACACACACCTAGGACAGTACAATTTCAACATCCACAACGCATTCAGTCTGCCATCATTTCTGTGCCACAGAATCCTAGGGACACCACCAGTATAGTCAAAACTTGGATTGCTCGCTATCCCGATGCACTCAGAAATCCAATGTTCACCAAAGAACAAAAAAGTATAATGTGTTGGTATGAACTTTGTAGGACGCGCTCAGCAAACAATATCATCAAAGATGACTAAGATAAAAGCACTGCTGAATCAGTGTTACCAAGTGCTAAGGGTGTAACACAAACAACACACTACATGCCTGACTGATCAAGACATTGCTCGACTATTCAGTTCTCAAATGTGTGCTTGTCTTGAGAATAGACAGCACTTTCCACTTAGTGCTTGTACGTCAAGTTTATAGTGTCAATTATTACCAATGTATGAGTTATGAATACAATGCAGTGTCTCGGTACTTTCATGGCCAGTGAATACAATGCAGTGTCTCGGTACTTTCATGGTCAGTGAATACAATGCAGTGTCTCGGTACTTTCATGGTCAGTGAATACAACGCATACGCTAATTTAATAAATGGCGTCAACTTTAAAGAATAACTTCAGTTTCAAAATTTAAACCTGCAGCTAATATCTGCTCGGAAGTGGTGGTTAAGTGTAAGAGCTTTGCCGAAAAAAGGGGTTGAGTCGTTATGTTTTTTATTCCTTAAGCTCTGAGATCAAAATGTAATTGACATGAATTTGTCTGTTGGCCATATAGTGAACCAAGTGACATCGAGGTCTCAATGGGAACTAGAGTACTAGTAAAAAAAAAAAAAAAATTATTAAAAAAAAAAAAAAAAAACACCAGATTATCTAAGGGGAATAACTCTCGTTACTGCTATATATCTCAATAATGTATAAGTTGTTTCCCTTTTTCGATATCAGCCAAATCATTAATTGGCTAATGGACCTCATTCACCGATTGTAAACAAACAACATTTAGTCGCGTGATCTTTTTGATAAAACAACGAAAAAAACTCACATGACAACCATCATGAATTAAACACGAGATCGTAAATTATATAGAAGAGATAGAGCACCACGTGGCTAAATGTTGTTTGTTTACGATTGGTGAATGAGGTCCATTAGTATTTTTTAAAACTGATTCATGTTTTGTTATGTACAAAAAATAATTGTTTAAGAACCTTAAGAATCTTAAGGTTGTCTGAATGGTACAATGTTACAGCTCAAGCATGCCAGTGAAAGACAAAGGTGGAACTTGTGTACAAAGAAAAACAAAACAATGCAAAGTAATACAAACTGCCTTTCTAAATTTGTAGTTTGTTTTCAGCATCAAGACACAACTTCAAGAGGCAATCATTCTCAAACTGTTGTCTTTTTTTTTTTGTGGGTTAAAAAAAAACATAGAATAATAGTAAATAACTCCCTGTAATAGTTTTGGTTGGATGCTTGTTTTTGTTGGTTGTAGCCTGGACTGGGTGAGATTAGAATGACAGGCCAGGTCAATAAGCTGTATACTGTCTCAGTACTGAGATTAGGTTTTTAGAGATAGTCATATCAATTCTACAAATCCTGACATCTAATTCAATAATAATAAGGCGTGTCTTTGAGTCCAAAGATTAATGAGGAATGCAGTTCCATATAAGTCATTAAAAAGCTTGATAGAAATATAGCCTGAATTATTTATTCTTTTCAATTTCACTTGTCTATTTGATCAACATTTTACTAAGCTTTATATAAGTTTACATAGTTCACATGATAAGAGCAATGGTCTTCACCTGCACCACAACCTTATTCTGACTGACATTGACAAGTTGCATTGACTACACAAAAAAAAGAACCTGCTTCAGTGGTTCCCTAACAAAATGTCTTGATAAGCATCAAACATTTCTCCATCCAAATTTAGCATTCAGTATGTTCGGGATGGTAGAACTATGAAACAAAAACAGTTTCATCTCAATATGAATTTCAAAACTTTGTCTCTACACAAAACAGCCATCTTTTAACCAACAGGATCCAATGTAAGAAAAGTTAACCTATCCGCTACAAACTGTTCATAGAATGTATTTTACTACATTTAAAATGTAGCTCAATAATGTGACAAAATTCAGCTTAGATGAAAAAATATTTTTAAATATCAATTTACAATGAAGAGCTAACTGGTGAGATTTTCATTAAAAATGTGTGTGTATCAACATAGAATAGTAAAGCAAATAAAAAAAAAATTTTTCATTACTTAGATCAATTCAGTACCGACCTCATGAAATAGAAATAGAAAAGAGCACTCATACTAGTTCTTAATTCAGAAGGAGAAAAAATGTTAGTGAAATGTTTGACAAGTTTTGGATGTTCCTCCAGAGCTGACAATAATCTACTTCCTATCCAAACCTCTCACAGGACAACAAGGATATGGCAGTGGGCAGGGTATGAACCTAACAGCAGTCCAGCGCACAAACAGCACAACCAAGCAGAAATAAAGAAAGAAAAATATATTTCATTGTATCCATGAGACCAGCTCAATTCCTTTTCCTAAAGTTGTCATTACCATTGGATGTATAAAAGCATCAGAACAAAAAAAGTAACATCCAAAGCTGAAGAGTTTGTTGAAAACTCCCTCTCCCCAAACTGTGCTGGCCATGCTGCTTAAATAGGGCACTTGTAGTAGTACAAGAGAAATGTGCTAGTCATGGGGAGGGCTGTGGCAAAGAGATTATGCATTCAGCTTTCAATCTGAACATCTTGGGCTCGAGTCCTGTTAGATACATGGAAACTAAAGAATTTTCTGCCCTGATTAGTAAGCTTGGACTGAAGTGAGTTCAATAAGCTTCAGATTACCTAATTGGGGAAATTGAAGTGTGGAACTAAAGCAGTCCTATTGGCCAGTGAAAGTGATGAACTTTCCATTCCTTTAAGTTGTACTGAAATACTTTTATTTTAAAACAGTTCATTTCAACATTCACAAATCTTACACCTACAACAGAAACACAAAAAAAAGACTATACATACACAAAACATTACATGGCAGCCTCATTGAACAGTCTCCTGTAACTAGTCCCAATCATTTCAGGCATCTAACACAATCAACACTCTCTCTCCCTCTCTCTCTCTCTCTCTCTATATATATATATATATATATATAGGATTACAGCTACATTAATATTTCATCCAGCAGTTACACTGGCAGCAATACAAACTCATTCATTAATTTAAAAAAAAAGAATGGCATACACAAAACTTAAAAAAAAAAAAAGATTTCTCAGTGTACCTCTACTGAATTATATGCTAAAAAAAAAACGTTCAATTCCAGAAGTAAAATCCAAATGTAAATCTTTGTTTATGGAAATGTTTCAGTTGTTTATTTAAAACAAGAGATAGATATTCAGCACTCTTCCTTTTTTTTAAATCTTCTAAAAATCAGTTACTCAGAATGATAACAGAAGTGTAAAATCTGTTTCAGATATTTATATATATTTAAATATATAAAAACATGAGAAATTCCACTCTTTCAAATTATCTACATTCTGCTAATATACACTTACAAAAATAATTTACACTTACAGTTCTGATCTATATATGCAATACACAATTCCATCCCATGATGCAATGGATGTTTGAGTTTATTACAAAGTTCCATCCCATGATGTGATGGATGTTTGTGTTCATAAAGACTTATATGAGTGTATAAGCTGTGAGGAGAGATTATAGCACAACAAATCTCACACAGCATATAATAAAGTTACGTTGTTAAATAGGTTTTCACACCGTTGTAGGTTGACTGCCTAGAGTGGAGCAAACAAAACTGCCAGTTAACAATATTCAAGAACACTAGATCAACCAGTGCACCTTGTGTGTGCACAACAAGTATGGTTAAACCAGTGCATCTTTTGTGTGCACAACAAGTTTATTTTTAAAACAATCTCACATCATCATCATATTTGTCAGACATCAATAAAAAAAAAAAAAGATCAGGAAAATTATAGGGGTCTGGGGCATTATTAAAATCCAGTCTTCATTATGACAAGTTTCTATGATTTTTTGTTTAAATCATCTTTTCAAACAGCAAAGGTCAAAGTTCAACAAATAAAATCTGTTTCACTTGAATGTTAAAGTTAAAAAAACACAAAAAAAACACAAAAAAAACAAAAAAGGTACTAGATGGCTGCATTGAGACAAAGTGTATATATACATAAATATATATCACTACTAAATGTCTAGTCCAATTCAAGAGTGTTTCGGCTAGGATGACTGTCTTCATCTGTGTAGATTTTCAGGGCTCGTTCTTTACGAGGGGAACAGGATAATCTGTGATTTTGTCGAGAGGATCTGCTCAAATAGAAAGTAATAAAAAAAAGATTTAATCAAAAAACAATAACTCCCTCAATGAATATTTAAAAAATCTAAATTTTAAGAGTAAGAAACAAATAAGAAAATTATTTAGTTTTTCATAGTTAAATTTGGGTGTTTGTGTTTTTAACAAAAATGGCTTCCTAAACCATACAGTAACAGGAAAATAAAGGAAAAAAAATGGAAAGGCCTCAATTTGAAATATAAGTTTAAAAAAAAAAAAAGAATACGATAAATGGACACTGGAAGTCTCCAGTCTGCTAAATGAATTGCTGAGTAGGTCAATTTCATAGTTTTGTCTTAAGATCCCACCTTTTAAAAATGTTTCTATGGTCAAATAAATTAATTATGAAGTTAACTTAGCATTTTACAGAGACCTTCTATTATAATTTGAATGATTTTAAAACCCTTCAGTTAACCTCCAGGTTCCCTCAACATTTCGTACAAGGCTACAATCTAAACCACAGGGTCACCACCCTTGGAGACAAAAAAAACTTAAACCAAATACATGAATGTTTAGATTAAGATTTAAGACCATAGCATTCAAAGCAAGTCAAAGACTATTGCAATCTTTCACTTCTTTTAGTAGATGAGACACTATGTCTTCCAGCCAGTAACCCTGCTCTATACTATTCCTACATTTCTGCACAAGTCCTAAGTCTATTATCTAAATTTTTTTTCATTAGATGTGACACTATGCCAGCCTATTCATTCTACAATTATGCCCATAATTCTAAACCAATTCTAGTCTATAATCTAGATTTATATTCACTTTGGTAAATTAATTTGGTGTTTTGACTTCATAATTATAATACCAAGGATAACTTGTTAGGATTAAAATCCAAGCTGGGTGCTATGACAACGTAATAAAGATAGTGTTTAGGTTAGACTTTTTTATCTTTACAATCAGAAGAGTGTCTGAGACTGTCAGTATGTTCGGATATGTTATTGTGTTAGTTATGTCTACAGTAACTGAACTGGAAGTGACCATAAACTTAAGCAAAAAATAAATTTTACCTGTTTTCTTTTTGGTGAATTTCTTTCTTTTTCTCCTCTGATAACTCAATCAGCTCTTCTCGGCTATCCCTACAAAAAAAAGTAGAATCCAATATTTCTAATGAGAAACATAAAAGGCAACT